GGGGTCACGCCCCCCTTGGCCTCCCCCCCCCCAAGACAGATTAAGGCTGTAGCCCCTGTGCCCAGCTTCATCCAAACACGCCCTTAAAACGAGTTCAGCTCCCAACCCCTTGAACCTGTTCTCTTCCAAAACCAAAGTGTGAAGCTGAACTGAAACGCAGGGGAACTGATCAGGGACCTGACTTCCTGCTTCGTGCTGAGGAGGAGGAATGGGAGACTCTCGGAAAGGAAGCAGAGAAAATGTTTAATCTTTGCTGGGGCCTTATTCCCAAAAGGGAACTGAACCCCACCGATACAGCTCCGTTAACAGCAGGGAAGAGCCCCCCCCCCATGACACCATTATTTTGAAAAAGGAGCCCATGCTATTCAGCAGGGAGCTCTCCCCACTAGTGGAGCCCCTGCTCACGTGGAGCGCTGTCGTTCCACGACAGAGCTGCGGAGAGGGAGAGCTACAGACCTGCCGCAACCCAAAGTCTGACGCTTGTGCTGAATTTGACAGGCTTTGAAAGGTGCCTGGTCCCAAAACTGAAAGAAAGAAAGACCTTCTTGTCTTGCTCACTTTCTCATAAAATAAAAATCCTCTTTTTTGGGGGGGGGGGGAAATAAACTAGCCAACTAAAGGCGGTTTCTGGTTCTCTGTCTCTCGTCTCCAACTCCTGGCCTGTGAACATCACCTCTTCCCCCCCAAGGCACATTTTGGCTAGCTCGACCTACATTCTCCCCCTCCCCCTCTCCACCTTCGAAAGTGCCACTGAAGAACTTTACAGTACATAAAAAAGTCAACCCGAGAGCATCAATATTGGCTACTATAGCTAAGCAGCTGGTGTAAGGCGGGGAGAGATAACAGTGCGGCTGCAGCTCAAGCAAAGCAGGGTAGAGAGGCGCTTTAAGCCCCCCCACACCGGTTTAAAGAGAATGTTCTTTGCTAGGAAAACCCCAGCAACCAAAGCCTTTCCGCGACAAAGCGAGAGATTTGAATCCTGATTTCCAAAATAAGGCATTTCTTTTCAAGATCCATATTCCTTGAAGGAAAAGTGGGGTTGGGTGAGGGGGCATTACATCCCCTCTGGATAAAACTAACAGAGACACTGAAGGCACGAATCCAGACAGCATCTAGATCTTCCTCGGAGGTGGAAGTTTAAAATCAGGATTTCAAAAAGTGCAACTGCACCTCATTTAGATGCAGTTAATCAGATCAGGAGTGGTGGGTGTCAATGCAGGTGTCTTTCTTGAAAGGGGGGGGGCTATCTTTATAATCCCTGCCAAATTTAAAGACACTTTGGAGTTTAGCCTGCGTGACTCTTACCACTGCCCCCCCCCCCCCCCCGTAGTGTTATAAAACCTGGTCGAAAGCAAGAGGGAATCCATCTTGGATAATCTAGGTCGGATTAACTGTTTTGTGCTGCTCATTTAGGATCTTGAACCCGAAGGTCCGAAACATTTATGAATGAAGGGGTTCCCCCAAGCCTCCCTCAATATGTAAACAAGGTCCCACGCTGAATTTAGAGTGTCCACACTAGGGATGAAACAGGGTTAATGCCACAAGGGCAATTGTGAAGACACCGCTAGCTGACGTGAGTCTTTGGGGGCCATGGCTTCTTCAATACATCCCACGAGTTAAGTGCAAAAGGACTGAATTCAGTCCCAGGAAGCGACATTCGCCTGGAGGGTCTTTCTCTGTGAACTCCCCCCCCCTCCCCCCATTTTTAACAAATAGCAAGCTTTGGTATTCAAGGAAAAAAGATACATATATACCTATCTAAAGAGATATTAAACTAACAACATTTTTTCTCTTTTTTTTGCACCAACAATACAATCTCTTTGGCTTGGTTCTTTTTTTAAAAAAGAAAAAAATTAAAGCCTTTTTTTTGTTGTAGAAAAAAAAAGATTTTTTTTCCTTAAAAAAACCCTGAAGCATCTTTAGCGTTTTATATATATATATAATATGTATAAATTCTTGCCGTAGAAAATAACTTCTTTAAAAACGTTTTCTGCTCTTTCTCTTTTTTCTTCCTCCTGTGTACATCATAAGGACCGAATAGCTTTGTATAATCGGGCAGTGAACGGTCGGGGGGATGTGTGTGTGTAGGGGGAGAAATCGAAGGATTTACATGATGCTGCAGTTTTGAGGACCCTGCGGAGGAAAGCAGAAAGGGGGGGAAAGTCACCGTAATGTGTTTTGGATACTCCGGCTGAAAAGCAAACGATAACGTGCATGTAGAAATGGACCACCAAAACCGTCAATTGAAACACCTCCCTCATTAGGGAAAGCTACAGAATTTGGGGCTTTTTAGTACGGAGGGGGGAAAGGCAATGAAAAGGAGACGTGAGATTTATAAAGTTTATAAGTGGGGGGCCAGGAGACTCTCACGGGGGGGAATCCCATCCCCACCAAGCCCAGGCTACCCAGCAGCCGCCACCAGGCCCCGTGTGGTGTGTGTCCCCCGTCCCCCCCCCCGTGCTCTCCCTGGGGTGTGCTGCCGAGCCCAACACACATCCCGGGCTGCACAGCCGCTGCCACCAGGCCCAGCAGGGCCCCAGGTCGCACTGCTGCTGGACCCAGTGCACTGCCCAGCAGCCTCCAACTGCCAGACCTTGGTGTGGCAATGCTCCCTCTCAGCTGTGGAGTCTCGTGGGCAAACATTCTACTTTTGTGAGCTGCTGGCATGAAAGTTGTGAGCGGGCGAGTTGGCGGCTGCATTGATTCGTTTCCTCCGGAGCCCTCCTTCCTGAGCTAAGGCAAAAAGGTGTGAGCCGGAGGCTAAAGAACTGTGAGCTGGCTCACGTTGACTCGGCTTAGAGGGAAGACTGGGTGTGGGGGCCCGGCTCTGCACCGCTCCAAGTTAACGGAGCCTGTATTATCGAGGTCTTCGGGGTGCAGAGGCTGGGATCCGATGACCCTGTTCCACCTGCCCTTCCCTCCGGTCGCCGCAGTGCTTTCCCCTCCGCTACGCTCTTGAGTCCTGTGCCGCTAGTCCTTCTCCGCACATGAGAGCTCCTTGGAAAACGCTGCTCTTGCATACGCGGAAGTGCCAGCAGCGGAGGAAAGCCTCTGCAGTGGCCTAAAAGACGTGTGAGGGGAAGACTGTCCTAGGGCCCAACCCAGAATTTCGATTGCCCAGATAGGGAGTTTTGTTTCAGGTTGGAGTACAGAAGCACACCCTTGCCAATAACTCCACTAGATAAGACAGACACACACTAACGCGGGTTCAAGGAGTTTGTTTCTACGGGCGATCGTCACCTGTTGCCCTCCTCTGTGGCTTCTCCTGCCACCCCGTGGCATACTGACCTGCTGGCGTGGGCTGGAATTGCCCAGAATGTAGGACCTGGGCAGCAGGCTCTCCCCAATGCCAGTCCCTCCGGTGCTGCGGTAAGCACGGGTGATGGTGACACTGGAAGTGGAAGATCCAGAGGACATGGTGCTGGTGGCAGCGTTGGTGGTGCCGCCGGCCTTCTCCGCTGGCTGCCCGCAGGTTCCGCACAGCACCGTGCGGGAGCGCAGGTTGTACTCGCCAGGGTCTCCGGAGCCGCTGCAGTGGCTCTGCGGGAGGAGGGTGAGACGGTGAGAAGCCGGTCGAGGTGCGGGGTTCAACAGCCGTTTTAAGAAGGCCTTGCACACCCAAAGACTCGCAAGAAACAGAGGGTTGGATCCTCACTAACTTTCCCACTCGCACAAGGCACTTCTGTCACTGGAACAAGAACGTTCCAGCCTACCGCCACCGCCACCGCCCCCCCCAATGAAGCCCACTGATCTCGAAATGCTGCTCCTGGGGCGGCAGGGGAAACTTAGGAACAGTAGAGAAGAGCCAGAGTCCAGAAGCATCTTAAAGACTAACATAATATTTGGCAGGGAAGCAGCTTTCGTGAGTCACTGCTCGCTTCTTCAGATACAGCAGCGACTCACGAAAGCTCCTCCCCTGCCACATATTTTGGTAGTCTTTAAGGTGCTGCTGGGCTCTGGCTCTTTTCTGCAGCTACAGACAGACTAACAGGGCTACCCATCTTGATCTCTCTCTTAGGAACACTGTGAGGGACAAATCAGGAGTCCACAGCAGGAACCTGGCGGAAGTTACCCCACCGCTTCCACTGGTTGAACACTTCGCCCGTGTCCAACCTATTTAAGTCATCCACAGCAGAGTAGTTATCGGTAAGCTGGAACGGCTCACAATCGCAGCACCTAAGCAGTGACCTAAGTATACTTTAACCTGAGTCTCCCCCCCACAAAAACACAAAATAAGCTTTTGAACTGATCTGTGATTATTATGGGCCCTGTTAATAAAAGGTATTCACAAAACCTTATGAAAGTGCCACCTTGCAAATGGGTTAAGATCAACAGCTGCCCGTAACAGAGCCTTCTCTGCGACGGCCCCCCTCTCCTAGCAGATAGGCATGCCTAAGGAGATCGAGAAAGGTCCCAGACTCCTATCATTCCACACAATGGGTAAACCGGAACTGTTCTTGTAAGGGAACATTTAGTGCTGTTCAAGATGGCTTTTAAAATAAAATAAAAGGAATAGAATTGTACATGGCTTGTTTTGTAGAAAAAGCCCAGCAGGAACTCATTAGCATAATAGGCCACACCCAACAGCAGAGACTCATTAGCATATTAGGACACACACCCTGGCAGCACAGCTGACAACATATTAGGCCACACCCCCATGCCTTCCCTTGGCTTGCCCAGGCAAGCCAGCCCTTGAACAGGCCAGGGGAAGCATTTAAATGTCTCCCCAATCCTTCCAGGCCTCCCCTGGCACACCTGCCTCTAGGTCGCCGGGGGTGGTGGTTTTGCTCTCCAGGCCTTCCCTCTGTAGCTACGCATGCACCTGGCTGTAGTGGGTGTGGCCAACTCTGAAGCCAGCCGGAACTCCGTTCCAGTGCGTTCCTGCCCAAAAATAGCCCTGGAATTGTAGCTTTAGGAAGGCTCCCATGCTTTGATCGTTCCATAAAGTTGTGTGGAATGGAATTGTTCACAAGGTGCTTTTACAAAGGGACATGAGCTGTTTCTTCAGTGCAGTCTACAGCTTCAGTTTCAGTGTTCTCTTAATTCAGTCATCTAGTTTCACTGTGGTATGTGTTACACTGGTCTTGGTTGCATTCTTCTCTCATTCTAGTTTCAAGTGGGTAGCCAAGCTGGTCTGCTGCGGAAGATGCAAACCCAGTAGCAACTTAAGAGACCAACGGCATTGCCAGGGTATGGACTTCCAAGAGTCAGAGCTCATGAGGTAGTGAGCCCAGACACTCAAAAGCTTACACCCTGGAGACAGTCATGGTTTTATGCTGCTACTGGACTCATCTTGCTTTCCTCGTTCTGTAACTCCCCTTCTGTGAGAAAGGGCAGGCTACAGATGACGTTAATAAAATCTGAAAACCACATGTATTTATCTACCTAAGACCAATATTTTGTTAAACTTAGTGGGCGGATCCTATGGATTTGTTCCACTAAACAGTAGCAGTTTCCCCCAGGGCAAGAGGTTTACGTCACACTGGAGGAAGGTGCTGCTGTTAGTGGAATAAATCCCAGGAAATACAGAGATGCCCGTTCACATCTCCGCCAGCTTCTAGTCATCATGGAATTGTCCCGGTTTCTCCAGGTACCTCTTCCTGGCACTACACTGTCCGCATTTTGTTTTGGGGGAAGGTGTTGGGCAGCCTTCAAGATGCACCAAAGATCTACAGGTTTCAGCTCCACCTCTGGGCCACCAGAAACCTCTGAAGGGGAGACCAAGGCGTCTGCGCTTCAGCCAGCCAGCATCAAGTGCCTTAAGAACTCACATGGTGATGGCGGTGGTGGATGCCAACTTCGTCTTCATCCTCTTCATCGTCATCCTCAACAACTACAGTGCGCACCAGCTTCCTCATGGCCACTTCCTGTGGAGCACAGGGGAAAGGAGGAAGTGACATCACACACAGCCATTGATAATTGTTTAGGGAGGGAGGATAGGGTATGTTTAACGCCAGAGTGGCAGCCAATCCAGGGCGAAGAGAAAATAAGCTACAGGCTTCGAAATCTTGGTGCTGAAAACAGGTCCCGGGTGCTGCAATTAGTCAACATTAGACATCGACTAAGAGACAACAGAGGTCTGTCTGGAAGCTCATAATCAACAGACACAGATGGGAGGAGGCCAAGAGGGAAGGGCAAAGAGAAGCCAGCCAAGCTGAGCTCTGCCAGCCGACAGGCTCCTTTCGGGGCTCTAGACAGGCCCTCTCTGGGTTTTGTTGAGGGCTAGCTGTCTCATGCCAGCTGCTGACTGCCCCCCTCCTGCCAAGCGCCAGCCTCCGGGTGCCTTACCTCTCCAGTGGAAGTGAGGAGAGCAGTGCGCAGGCTGTCTCCGGATCCCCAGGAGCTTTGGTTCTTCCACACCATATCCGTGGGAGGGTTGTGGGTCACCCCAGCGCCAGCAGCCCAGATCTGAAGGGAGAAAGAAGTAGTCAGACCCTTGAGTCTACTGAGGTCAATGTTGTCTACTCAGACTGGCAGCAGCTAAGGCAGGGGTCTCAGGTAGTGGTCCCTCATATCACCTGGGCCTTGCTGGGGATGGACCCCGCAACCTTCTACATGCCAAGCAGATGCTCCGTCACTGAGCCACGGCCCCTCCCCAATTAACTCCTCAGAGGAGAATGAATACCCATCATGGAACTCTGTGCTCTTGCTTCTAAAACAGCCCAGGTATTTTCAGGACTGGAAACCACAGAGGGCTACTCAGTAGCAAAACCACCCCCTGAGAACCAGCATGGCGCAGTGGTCAGAACGGCAGACTAGGGCCTGGGAGACCCAGGATTGAATCTCCACGTTGCCATGGAAGCTGGCTGGGCATGACCTTGGGCCCAGTCACAATCTCTCAGCCTAACCCTCCCCTGAGAGGTTCAGGTGGGGCAGCCGTGTGGGTCTGAAGCAGCAGAACAAAGTACGAGTCCGGTGGCACCTTTAAGACCAACAGAAGTTTTACTTAAGGGAGAAGCTTTCGTGTGTGTGCACACTTCTTCAGATACAGCGAAACAGAATTTCCTCAAGCCTTTAATCCAATCTTAGCTGTACTTACTGCCAGTGCACCCTCTAAGCTGTTAGTGTGAGTTAGCTCACCATTTTTTAGCCTCCGGCTCACAGGTTTTTGTCTTAGCTCTGGAAGGATGGCTCCAGAGCAAACTAATTGATGCAGTAGCCAAATCGCTCGCTCACAGCTTTAATGCCAGCAGCTCACAAAGCAGAATTTTTGCTCACAAGGCTCCACAGCTTAGAGGAAGCATTGCTTACTGCGTAATTACTTACGCATCTTGACTCTAACTACCCCTTCCTGGCCACTAACCCCCCACACATCTATATGTAAGGCTTGAGGAAGTCTGTTTCAGTGTATCTGAAGAAGTGTGCATGCACACAAAAGCGTGCACTCAGAATCAAAATTTGGGTCTTAAAGGTGCCGCTGGACTCAAACTTTCTCCCTGAGAGAGTTGCTGTGAGGATAAAATGGGGGAGCTAATTTGGGTCCCCACTGGGGAGAAAGGCAGGGTATCAATGAAGTAAAACAGACAAACAGAATTGTGACGAGTGTCAAACGCTGCAGCCGTGCTCGGGGCGCTTCAAGGCATCTCTTATCACGTGCTGCTTCACCCATCCATCCCCTTTCCCAAGCTGGGAAGATAGGGAATACCCCCCCTCCCAATCACAAGCCCACGCGAGAGGATCCTCGTAGATACTTACTGTAACTAATTGCCCAGCCTTCAAGGTGAACTTAGGAGGGAACCGGTAGCAGATGGGGGCTTCCTCTCCGTTCTGGCGCTTGATTTGCCAGTTCCCCAAAGACTGGTCCTGGGGGGGAAAAACACAGACGGCAGAAACTGCTTAAGTCCGCAGAAGACAAATTGGCCCATGATCAGTCTGCCCCTTGGCACAGCTGCCACCCCGAAAGAGAAGCTGGATGGGCGTGGTTGTACCTTCAGTACATTCTTCACATCCCGAGCCCGCACACTAAAAACCAGCAAGCCCTTCCCCCGCCAGTGCAGAATGTAGGCCCATCTACGGTTTGCCCACAGGGCTTGCTATGCCATCACACTGGTTTAACTGGCACTCTCTTTCCACCGGATCAGGGGAAAGCGAACACCTTTGCGGAAATATATTTTGTTAAAAGATCCCTATCCCAATCTTTTGACAAAGGCAGCTGGCACCAATCACTTAAAACAGCAAGAACCCTGCAAAAATGAAACACATACAGAGCACCCCAAAGGAAAGCAGGTATCAAAATTCCAAGAGGCTTGGCGATACTTCAAGGGCCTCCTTTCTCCGTCCCAATGAACCTCCCTAAATATGCAGGTCTTCACCCAAGGTCCCTGAGGGTGGGTGGGTGGTGACGAGAGACAGGGTCTTCTCAGTGGCAGCACTAGCACAGGGGGATGCCCTTCCCAGGGGAAGCCCGTGGGGCCTCCCAGTTCATAACATGCAGGAAGAGGAAAGACTGTTCCGTCTGAGCACGCTTTGCGGGTCAGTTAACTTTTATTTTTGCCTGGACATTTGTGGAGTCTAGTGAAGTTTTATGATTGCTGTTTCGGTCAAAACTGCAGGATATAGATATCTCAAACAAACACACGATTAAAAAAAATCTCTCAAATTTAAAACACCAACAAAACCTGGAAGGGAAGGACAGAACAGAAACGTCTACAACTGGTGCTCTACAAATGAAAACGCCCAAAGTTTAAGTATTGCTAATGGCCCCACCAGACTCCAAACCAGGACACAACTGGGACTGTAGTTAAAACCGTAGTTGCCCCCCCAGCCCCCCCGAAGGATTAATGCAGCCACAAGCTCTCTTCCCTTCCCTCTTTTTGCCACAATTCAACAGAACCAATCCCAACATTAAAGGGAAAATACTGAGAAGCACAGTTTGTGGCTCTAAATATTCACTTAACCAGATGGAACACTCTTTGTTGTTGTTGTTCAGTCGCACAGTCGAGTCCGACTCTTCGCGACCCCATGGACCATCTCCCGCCAGGCCCACTCTTTGATGCACCCTCAAAAGCTTAAAAAGCCTGGCTTCAGG